AGATTATTTTTGAAGCTTTATTATATATTGAAATAATGTTCGCGCGCGACAATATTTTCGTGAAGAAAACTCGATTCTACATAAAGATAATGGAACAGAGAAATCTTAAATAAAATTTTAAAAAGGGATTATTGTAATCATATTTGGATTACATATACATATACACATACACACACAATTGGATGTAGTTCGATTCTCTGGTAGTATTACGCGCATGTATCGATTTATCAGCTGACTGATTGACGTTCTCGCACTGGAGAACGTCGCGTTGTTGTGCTATCGACGTACACCATTGTCAACACAAATTCTCGCACTCCATTAACAACTACAGGTCAAATGTTTGCAACACGCAAGCGGAAATCGCGTGAAAATGTACGCGTTGCATTATGCTATTATTTTTGTCGATACTCGTGTAACAATTCGCGTTTCGAAGCTCTTTTGGCATTTGATTTCGAATGTAGTTGTCTTCAATTTTGTTTAAATCTGAGGTTATTTTTCTTTTTGTACTATATTATAAATCGAGAATTTGTATGTGGAAATCCCGGATTTGCGTTCGACAAATTATAGACTATGTGGAGCGACAATCAAACACGCTATGGGGGAGGGAAGAGCGCACAATAATTGGTATAATAATTGGAAATTTCAAAGTGCAGCTGGCTCATATCGGATTGGCATTGAGTTGCAAATAATATTGGTTTACATTCATTAACGAGTTTTAGTCGGGAGCGCGGAAAGGGGTGGATGCCAGGATGCGCGGTGTAATTAAGAATTTGACTATATAGATTACCTATGCATCATGCGTCTACGTTCGCATAATCTGTGTTATTCAGAAATAAGCAGCTTATGACGCTACAGAAATCCATAGAAACGGACGTGTACAAGAAGAACCGCTTAACTCGCATTCGTCATATCCGTTTATTGTTTAGTAATCGAGTATACATCTCGTTAATATACTTGATGCGCTTGACGGAGTATGAAAACTGGATTGAAACACGTTTCAATGCAATTATCGCCCAGGATTTCTAACGCTTCCAGCCGTTTCGAGAACGCATTGCAACGAATATAAAGCGCGATAAGAAATACAGACGTGAGGACGATATGTAACAGACGGCATAAAATATATCTTCACAATGTATCGCATCAAATTTAAAGATAGATTTCTTGGCGAATCTGCGCCTCAACAAAGATTTAACGGGGAGTCATTTGTTTTCATAATTTTTTATATTTGGACATTAAAATTCAATTATTTGAATCTTGGACACTTTTATACCTTTTTGCGAGCAATTGTTAATACTTTCTAATAAAGCTGATTCCGTCAGAAGATTTCTTTGTTAGTTCTAATCACGAATTTGATAGGCTAAATTATTTTCCGTTCTATACGAGTTTAACGGAACTGTTTGATTTATCGCATATCCTTGCAAATGCAGGTCTGCGTTATGCGTGCTAACGATGGTTACCTAAAGGCTTGAAATCTGAGTAAACATTCTCACTAGCGAGTACCTACCATATGCGAGGCTGTTCGTTATTTGTATACCATCATTCAAGCGGTAATCATTGCGTTCTTTTCAATTGCGGTGTACTCTTGATTATGCAATACCATCGAGAGATACTCCTATTTGATTCCAACTGATTCGTACAAAGAATCAATTATTTTACAACAAGAATAGCTATCATAAAATATTAATGATTAATTTTAATTAATTATTGCCTAATCTTTGTAGCTTTTGCTTATTCTGAGAAACTTTTATATTTGTATTTTAATGCTACTTTTTTTAAACTTCTTCTATTTTGATAAATTAAATGAAAAATCATGTTGGATAAAATGCAGGCGCCAACCAGATTATCCATACGTGGATAATCAAGAGTACTGTCATATATCCGACATTCCTATAACTCTGCGTCACACTATTCTCAGGGAGGCGTCCCTTTCATTCAGATTCCTTGCATTATCTCTCCGGCCGTCTCTAATAAAGGGGCTTACGAGCGCACTTGTATGCGACAACATCTAGCTCGCGAGTACCTACAGAGTGACTCAGGATGATCGCCTTAATGTCTAGATACATGTAAATATAATATATGAATAAGAAAGCCATGTAAAAAAAGAGGACATTTAAAAAAATAATATGGTACGATAACCCTTCAAAAATTCTAAGTAAATTGAAAGTTGCTTCAAACTTTGATTCCAATCAAAAGTTATTTTGATACCTCCTGTATACTCTTATACTTATGTATTACATGCATATACATACCGTCATAAGTGGAATACGCAACCATGATATCCGCATAGGTGGGAATGCTGTATGTGGTTCTCTTGCTATCCGTCTCATGAATAATTTTCACCCCTTTGTCCAGTTGCGACCCGCGGCATGCCTGCGGGAAAGAAAAAACACGCGCGTGAGCGACGATACTAGATTTTCCCGGCGCGTAAAAGATGCATGGGATTCGTGACTGTGCTAGATTTCCTTCGCGAGAACGTACAGCGATTTATTTAAAACGCTTCAAAGGTTTTTTTGCGTAACCGATTTGGAGCATTATTGAAACATTGCCAAAACGTGCAAAATGTGCAAAACTTTGCGTTGTAGCCGCGATGAACAAGTTCATATTCAAGAGATTCTGAATGCGTTTTAACGCCTTTTTCCAAAACTTATTTTCACGTAATTAAATCGAATGGTTATTTACACTCAAAAAAATGTCTTGCTGATATAGGTAGATTTCTAGGTGCCACAACAAAAATTTATCGCTATTTTTTGTATCTGTTAGAATATTGTCTGTTACATATAGAATTTATAGCAGCAACATTCTAATAATATCTTCTAGAAAATTTAGGTCCCATTGCCAAATGTTAATCACTGCATTGGATAAATATGAGTTTCGATACTACAGCTAGAACGATCTTTGTGAGAAATATAACTGCCAATTATAACTGCAGCATCGAAAAATTGAGAAAAATTGTTTAAAAGAGCTAGATAGATTGAGCGCGTTATACAAATATGTTAGACGTGAGGATTATATATTCATTTGTTTCTTGCCGCTAATTTTTTCTGTCTACCACAGCCAAACTTTATAACAAGTATGATTGGCCTTAACATGGATAGGCGCCACAGAAAAACATTCTTTCTAAATTTCACAAACAGTTCAGATATAAATTCTGTCTCTGTCACTTAGATTGATTAAATGCGAAACATATGCGATATCACAGTATTTGCTAATCATTTATGTACCTCGGTTAATTTTGCGCACCCAGAAAATTTTTGCTGTGGTTGCAATACCACTTTTTTGAGTGTATAATTATAAATATAATTAGCAAACATGTAGAAACATAACAAATTTTTAGATTTATTGATTTTACTATTTTTGAGTTTGATATATGTTACTCTTTATCATATACAACGCAACATTAATTAATCCTAATCCGCGCAATTTATTTTTGTAATGTAAATAGACAAATGTTGCCAATGAAAGCTGTAGTTTTTGTTTCTGCATACATAATATTCAAACATAAATTCAGTGAGAGACTTGTATCTGATTATTTTACATTGCAGATTTAATTCATTATACACACATTCTCATATTATTATGTATAATTAATAATTAATAATTCATGCTACTATTAATGAAAATAAAGCAATATTTTTTAAATAACTAGATCCAATAGGTCTCGTTTGCCTCGATAAGACTTAAGAATTGTTTCCACTTTTATAGGGAGAACACGCAACGATCATTTGATATATTAAAAGGTTAAAAAAGTTTAAATGTTTAATGGCCAACAAGAGTCGCGCTACGATTGTTTTTCGGAACCGGTAGTAGAACATACGAGACAATTACACGCAGATCTATCGATGTTTACAGCGTCGTTAACGATAGATGAGAGCGGAGACTTGAACGGAGGAGCGGCAAGAAATATATGGGGTCCACTTACTTGAGGCTACCGTGGCTGCACGCAGCTTTCAAGGGGCCAGAAATTGGCACATCGATTTCGATACAACGCGGCCAAAATTTGCATCCGCTCAATTTACGTCGGTTGCAAATCACGATAACCTCGCGTTCATAATTTGCATGATAAAATTTCACATGAGTATCGAATATATCATTAATGTGTAACCTTCTTCATTAAATATAACAGCCTTTACGTAGATATAAATTAATAAAGTGTTTCGATATTCCGAGAGAACACGTATCTTTTTTTTTGCATTTTAGACAATCGATTCGATATTTTCGCACGATTCTCTAACAGATGTACGATCGAGTTGTGTGAATTATTATCTCTTTGGACTTTTGTATTTTTTTTTGTCGCTTTTGAAAACACGAGATTAAATTACTAATCATATCGATCGTTACGAACGCTAACTTTATCGTGCTCGTTTATCTTTGTCGCACTTTATCTTCGGGATCACCGATTCTCTGACTCTATTTGAGACGAAAGCGGTAATTTCGAAAGGGTATCTGGCTGGTTGGTTGGCTTTTTCCGGTCCTTTTTCTTTCGTGGAGAGTAAATTACAATCGTTGTCGGAATAGTTGCTTATCTCTGCGATTGCTCGATATATCGATTGGAGATTTTTAACGATCTAAAGCTACGGGCGTAGTTTTAAGTTTAAATTTTCAATTTTCTCTCTCTCTCTCTCTCTCTCTCTCTGTATCACTCTCTAATTTTAAAAACAACGAATAATTTTTTCTCTGATAATGTACGAAATAATTTTATCGCGGTCATTTTTCATCTCTATTGCGGTAGTTAAGCATTAAATTGTTTTGTGTGTATAATTCTCATTGCATAATTGTAAATGTAACGATCGGTAATAAATTGACTAGGAAAAATGGGATTGTATAAAATTATAGTTCATGTACCGTAGCAAAATTACATGAAATTGCTTGCATCTTCTCTTACTTGAATATGCATGCGGGCATACAATTGTCTCGCGCGCGATAATGACGTATCTACAGGAACGCGTGTTTTCCAAATGTGTCCGATTAAAATGTTCGCGCATTCGACCGATGTATAAATGTACTCGCGCAGTGCGGAAAAAGAGCGTGATGGAAATATAATCGCGGACGCGAAAAACACAAAGGGAAGAAATGAAACATAAAACAAAAATACGTAGAATATTGCGCGACGCGAATTGTCGCCCGGCATTTTTTAATTCGTCCGGTGGCGAAATCCTCGAAACGATGCACGCGTGCATTACTTTGGGAATTATGCAAATAACAGTTTTTGTCGTCGTTCCCTTTCGACCGGCTGCGTGACGCGGGAACGCGGGGGAATAATCTTAATTACTGCGGCGTCCTAGAGCGCGAACAGGTTCCATTACATTGCAGAATGCACATATTTCATTGGCTGCGGCCGCTAAAAACCCGACGGTGCACTAATGTGCAGGAGTCCGCAAATCCCTCGGAGATCGTCGTGAGGCAGATAAATGGAGAATGTCTCTAAATGGAAAACGATCTCCGGCAGGATTATATGCCCGAGAAAGAATTAGATCTGGCCCGGCATTGTTACTGGAATTATGTGCACAACTACAAGTCGACATAATCGTTTCTTTTTGATACACAGATTACAGATTGCTGCAATTATGGTATTCACGTTATGACGCGGCGAGCAGGAAGTGAGTGTTGTATTTATAGTTAACTTTCTTTCTGTGTTGCGGCCATCCATTTTAGTATCATCTATTTCACAACGTCATCTATTCCCATCTCACGTAATTACAGAAATTCAGAAGAAAACTTTGCTGCGTGCAGAAATTGATGGAAAATACGCGGATAGGGAATGGATATCGAAATAATTGATTTATAAACTATCACAAGAATTACAGACAAGGAAATGCAATCTAAACTTATCGAAATATCAATAATCTTTGAATAACGAGTATTTACAATTTTTTTAAATTTTATTTAGAATTGATAAAATAGGATAGCGATAGTGTCACTCCATACGTTAAATTTCGTAAAATAGAATATAATTATTTTTGTTTTTTCAATCAGGACAACCGACATGGATATTTCTCTCACCGTTATATTTTAAGCATGCGGGATCTGCAATCACATTTCTGGCTACTGAATTTATATCTCTCGCGCAAGAATATCATATATCAAAATTTTCAGCCGGAAAACGTAATTATTTTTTTTCTCTCTTCTTCCGTCTCGCTCGTTTCTCTAGTGGCAATGCCGCTAAAATATGACCGGAATTTCGTGAAACGTAAACGCAAACAATGCAAGAATCATAAAAATCAGTCTACACATTCCGCTTCATCCAAAGTAGATAAATAACTTTGAGTCACATGAAAATATTCAAGTTTCTTGACACGCTTGATGAATCCGAATATAATAATATAGATAATAAATATAAGTTTTGTTAAATATAAATATAAACAAAAATATTTACAAGGATAAACGGACTGCTTTCGAGAGATATTGTAATATCGTCAGAAGCGAACTATCGAGAGGAGATATTCTAGTACGAGACCGCGCTTATTTGAAAGGCACGATTAACTTCAACAAACACCAGCTTGTACAATAGCTTATATTAACTCATAAATCATCCTCCACGCGATCTGTATAAATCTCCCTCGAATTACTCAGCATGTAACACCGCTTGGATGATTCACTTTGAGATGATCCATCACCAGACGAGATCGTCCGGGATGAACGAAAGTGGAGAGTTGCTTCTCTTTGAACGCGCGGTTCATCATTGTTCGCGCGTTTTGCACGATTCATTCGCGATTCATATATACCTACGGCACGTATACATATATCCGTCAGAGACGTGTAGATGTACCTGAATGAAGAACAACTTTGGTTTCCCGGCCAGAGTGGAGCATCGATCGCCAGTGAAGGGAGTCCACAGCATATCGACTGGATACAGGCTATCGGTCGAATGCAATAGACCCGACTCGCCGTGTGACATTGCGACCACGATCAGGCAGTCGGCATCCGTGTGGTCTTCCGCAGCGGCTTTAATGAAAGGATTAATTAATTCCTCGCGGTGGCCGCTAATAGTCGTCGGACGGTCTAGCCTAATAGCCTATGCACAAACAAACACCGAGTTGCCGGGTTGAGATCGTACTCCGATATTGTTGGTTGCCTCGCGCGAGAATTTCCACGGCGAGGAAATCGAAACACAGTGCGAGCAGCTGTACTTCCGGGGGCTTATGCGAGATAGCATTAAGGAATTAAATGAAGTTTCCGTTGAGTAAAATCACACGGAGCGATTTATTATTAAGGCTCTGAATCGGCTGTAACCGTGAGTTACGGACAAGTAGGAATATTATATGTAATTTTTTTTTTACGATATTGAAAGAGATAAAAATATCGGTTCTCCCGATATTTTTATATAATAAGTTTTAAATTCGAGGACATTTACACAAAGTGCATTTTGTTCGGATAATTATGCTATGATGGAAATTAATTGTTTCATCTCTTTAATAAAATGTAAAGTGCTTTACGGAACAAAGCAAAATAACAATTAAGAAAATAACAAGAACATAAAAAGAACAAATCCAAAATAACAATGAAATGAAAAGAAAAAGAGTTGTGCCTGCGACTATAACGATTATTACATTTATTACATTTTTAAATTGTTACATTTTAGAAAAATGTAAAAAATATCAGACGATTTACCCGGAAAGTTCAGGAGCGTTCGGGACATAGAATGTGTGTTAAAACAGACGTGCACACAAAAACAATGTATAACAAAATTCTTTCTGCGATTATGAAACGAGTTGTTCTAATTAAACAAAATATGGATAACTTTGCTTTTAGAGAATATAAAAATAATTTGTTCTCTCTCTCTTTCTTTTCTTTTCTTTGTGTATACAATTTTATTTAAATTAGCTCTGTGTTTTTCGAACGTGTTTCATGCGCTTGTTTGTTTCAAAGTGGCAAATTAATTACAAACAGATATAAATGTGCGATTTGTGAACGTTTGCAGTTATTTTGTCGGTGAAGTGAAGTAAAAATTTTCATTACGCGAGATTAACTATGTATTATTCATGGTAGCTTTATAATTTTCGAGAAATTTTAATAAAATGCAGAGATATTGCATACAGAATGCCAGCGGGACACGTGGATTTTCGAGATGGCTTTAACAAAAAAGATTGATTTAATTTCGCGATAACAACGTTAAAGGCTATTTACTATAACATATTGCATATCATGTTATAAAATGAAAGAACAGTAAACCGTGTATAAATCATGTAAAAAACAGGAAACAATGTTATTTTCTTTTTCTTTTTTTCACCAGAAAACAAGAAAAAGAATTATAAAATTACAATGTGTGAGCTCGGTGGATATGTATAAAAACTTTTTGTTATGCCGTCACATATACATATATACATATATACCGTCATTATGCATTGTCCGAATATGCAATATTTTCAAGTATTTTCTATTGTTGCGTTTTTTTCATTTTTTCCAATCTCTTTATTACAGCGATCGTATTTTCGCAGTATCATATTTACTCGGTTTTTCAAACTCGCTTTCCTCTTGTCACACGACCGAATCTCTTATGCGTGATTTTACCGTACCGTATCTTAAATCTGAATTTTTATAGCGAATTTATCTTGAATATGCAAATAAGAATTCAACGGGAAACATTTTTGCCCGTCTCTTTGGAAATCATAGCGAGTTTTCGCAGGCGATAAGATTATTGGATACTTTGATCATGATTTTTTTCCCGACTTTATCGCAATCGCGCCGATATATCGAACTCCCAAAAGAACTCTTCTTACGAGAAACATCGAACCTGTTTCTGTGCAAAAGCATTACATTCAAGGACGGTCGATAATCCAATTAATCCGCACTGCCTCGGTCCGGCAATCCCGGCGCACGGGAGTAATTAAGGTGCGGAATATAAATCGCATAAAAAAGAAAGCTGGGCAGTGGTTGCAAAATAGACGCGCGGCATATTCAGCTTGTGAGTTATACGTGATGTGTGCAATCAGGAAAATGTTTCGCGAAAAAGCTCGCGTGATTACGTGAAACGACGTCTCCGTTAACGCTCTGTTCCTTGCAAGAGAACGTTTTTCCTCTGAGAGTTCACCTTGGTAATGGAAATCTACTCTGGCTTTACACAATCTCGCTTGAGGGAGCGGGAAGCAGGAGAAGGGAATCTCTATTACGTGAAAAAATCATCATAATGTGGTCTCGTAGTGATTTTTTAATTACTACCACTAGTATACCGCGTGCGTCATCGCATATAAAAATAATTAAGAGAGACAATACCTTACGTTAGCCAATTATCTGATATTATCTCGCGATTGAATTATTTTTCCTTGTTTTTGTTAACCCGTTCGTTTTTTCTGCTTTTATTATTTATTTTTTCTTGCACAAAGGAAGAGTCCGCTCCAAACTGATCGATCGATATCTCATTACGTATAACACAATTTATGTTTCTTGTGTATTTTCCTTTACCAAGTATTTTAAGCAATTTTAATCGCTTTATTTCCAATTGGTGACAGATGCATTTAGCAATTGAAAATCGCGAATTATGTCAGAATTACGTTGGAAAATATACATTAAAAATTGCTCACACATAATGCGTAAATATATAAATAAAATGTATTCAATATTTTGTTATTACTGAACTTATATATTTTGTGAGACATAAAGCAAAGTGCAGTATACTTTGTTTAGTTTAATAATATTTTGATAATATTATATCAGATATGTTATATCAGATATGATTTCAGAATTTTCTTCTCCACTTTGTTTTGTTTCAAAATATTTTATAAAAATTAATTTATATATA